AGTAGACAAAAGTTTATTTCTGCTGGGTACATTCAAGTCATTTCTGACTTATAGCTACCCTAAGGTGAACTTATCATAGGGTATGCTTGGCAAGATTTTTTCGAGGAGGTTTGCCATTGCCTTTCCCTGAGGCTGAGAACATGTGACTTGCCCAAGATCACCCAGAGGGTTTAATGGCCAAGCTGGGGATTGAACCCTGATCTCCAGAGTTGTAGTGTGGCACTCAAACCACTACGTCACACTGGCTCTAGATAAAAGTACTATTTATTATTTTCAGAAAGGGCTGTACAATTCTTGGGGAAATATAAGAGCAAAGAAGAATTGTGGCTGGTGGGAAATATTTTTAGCATTATCCCACCATGTTACAGAAGGTGGTGCTGTCTGCTCGCAGTGCTGAAAAGGCTGGGCATCAAAAGAGAATCTTCCATAAAATTTGCCTGGTGTGCATCTCAAATCACGAAAGCCTTGCATGATAAATACCAAACATGTTACCTTTATTGGAGAAGATTCAATTTCACAAAAATGAAGGTGTTTTCATTTTGAATGATTAACAATATGCTTGTCAGACTATAGAGAAAACTAAGGCAGAAAACATGATCATCAAGTTGCACAATTCATGCACTGCAAGGGCTGAAAGCAGAGCTTTGAAAAGTTACCTTTTGGGGCTGCAATGCCTGGAAACTCCAAGGAGATGAAGTCATAAACTAACTTTTAAAAGTTAGTTTAAAGTGAGTGGAGATTGGTGGCTCTTATATATGTGGGGTAGTGAATCTGCTCTAACCTATAATTGGAATGTTGAACAATGAATCTGCTTTGACATAGAGTTCAGCACTCTGGACAGTTCTGTCAAAGTTCAGACTTAAAACTGGAGTAGCCCAATCCCCCTTAGAAGTTATCAACTGCCACTAGCCAGAGTACCCTTAACTACTTATATCTATTGCAAGATCTGAGATCTTGGAGAGCTATAACCTGCCAAGGTACAGTGCTGGAGAAACAAATGAACTGACTTTTTATAAGCTGAATAATGCCTTATAACCATCACTGGCCATACTGATGATGTTGATGTCTATCACAGTAGTGGTCTTTTGGGATGCTGAACCATGCTTACTTGAGTGAGGTTGTGTAGGAATGCTTATGGAGAAGAACAAAAACAAAGCAAAGGATGCCTGTAGCTGAACACTATAACAAAAAGACAGCAGTCAGAACCAAATCAGAATGAGATGCATAAAGAGATACAAATTAAGCATAGCCACATAGACTAGGCTCAGAGTGTCTTCTCTGACACCAGGTTCGGAACCTGGACACTTTGCAAACACAACAGGATTTTACGAGTTCATTAACAGAATAGGTCATTCATGAAATTTTAGGACTGGTTTTGTCCACTCAGTGTTATATTGTAGAATGTGTCCATCTTTATATACCATCCCTGCCCAACTGATGATAGCCAACTTCAGATAACAAAAATAAAAAGAGCCATTAAATGACAGTGATGAAAAAGGTGTGCCAAAAGAGTACAAAGAAATTACTGAGCTGCAAAGTAAATTTTCTGTATCAGTTTCTCTTACAAAAAGAATGGCTGGAATTCAGTATGGGATTGACATCTGCGTAAGTAGACATTCTGAGATTAAGACTGTCTGAAGAAGTGGATTGAAAACTAAAAAAGCTCATGTTGAAATAAATCTCATGTTGAAATAAGTCTCAAAGTTGCTGCTAGATTATTTTTCTTTCTTTTTCTCCCCCCCCCTTCTTATTCTGCAACAAATTACCAAGGCGAACTCTCTGAAAACTCCTGCTTTGGGGAGCAAACATACCTCCCTGGTAAGGTTGAAGCTTAGCAAGCCAAAATTCATATCTTGGGATCATCAGGTAACCACAGACACAACTCTCAGAATCACACAAGCCTACCAACCAAGTGATGCTGCAAGATACAGCTGAAAAGCACTTTTTTTTTCCAAATGTTGAGTGAGGAGTGAATGAGGAGTGAATTTATGTGTGTGTATATGGAGGGGGCTATGAGTTTTGTTCTGCAGTGATAGTCAAAACAAATTCCTGGGCTCAGAACTCTTTCATTTTAACTCTGTGTCTTTTGTACTTTTGGGTGGATCTTTGTGTTCTCATAAAAGTGCCATAAGTGTCTACTCATCCTTCTTGTAAAAATGAGCAATGGCTGAGGCTGCTACATCTGCTGCCAATACCACCGCTACTGCCTTCTTTCTTTTTTATTTCCATTGTTTTGGGCCTTGCCTTTTATGTGGAAAGGTGTCTTTAAGGAAAACAGCACTGGCTGAAAGCCTCCTCACCCAGCACTTCTCTGGGCTATGACAAATTGTAAAAAGTAGGGAGATGAGTGTTAGATCTCTAGGGCCCTACATTTTCTCTACTATGAGTGTTCTTAGAATCATAGAATCATATGGGCCATCCAGTCTAAACCCTGCCATGCAGGAACTCTAAATTAATGCACTCCCAACAGATGGCCATCCATCTATTTAAAGACCTCCAAAGAAGGAAGCTTCATCACATTCTGAGGGAGCATGTTCCACTGTTGAACACCTCTTCATTTCAGGAAGTTCTTCCTAATGTTTCGGTGGAATATCTTTTCCTATAGCTTACATCCATTGTTCCAGGTCCTGTTCTATGGAGCAGCAGAAAACAAGCTTGCTCTATCTTCAATATGACATCCCTTCAAATAGTTAAACAGGGCTATCCTATCACCTTTTAACTGTTTCTTCTCCAGGCTAAACATACCCAGATCCCTAAATCATTCCTCATAGGACATAGTTAAGTTTCAGCCTTTTTAAGGAAACAAACATATTTAAATATAAAAATATGAAAACCAAGCCTGTACGAGTCTGGCTTTAAAACAACAGAGTAGGAGAAGAGTGACTTTGCCTAACTATTATGCTTCACTAAGAACTGATACTGACTCAAAAAACAACTCATAGCTTGCAGTTTAAAAAACAAGGCTTTAATCTATACTTACATAAAAAGCTAAATCCTAATCGAACTAGTGAATAGTTCAGGAAGAGAGAAATATTTATCGCACCATCTTTCAAACAAAGTTGAGAGAGCAGCAAGATGGAACAGCTCAGATGAAAATCTTGAGAGAAAGAC